GCTTAAGAAATGTGTGAAAATATATTACCAAAAAAAAAATAGCTAGAGGTAAAAATCCAGAAAAGATGAGTAAAAGAACTCCACTAGATAATTGTCTCGAGGACAGGAAATAAAAAGGTAGTCATAAAGGGAGGATTTTCAAGTTTTAAACTGTTATAAGTATTTCTGAAGCCAGTTTAAGTGTCTTTATTACTAGAATTAACCCAGTTAGCGCTTATTCAGATTGGTCACACTATACATTTGTTATTAGATCACATTTGCTTCTGATTTATATTTATCTATTTTAAAATGTTTTTTTTTTTGTAACCAAATAAAGTCAGAAACCAACTTTCCCAAATCACTGACTGGTTCAATTTTTCTTCTCCCTAATTTTTTTTATGGATTCAGCTTGTTCTAATTTGGAGTTTCTTCTCTAATCATGGCATATTTACTTACTAAGATATGTATCAAAAATATACAACCAGAACACAGTAATATATACCTATATAAACTATTCCTGAATCCAAAAGACATATAAGACTCAAAAAGCAATCTACTTGCTTCTCATCAATGCTCAAACATTCACTAAATTGCATTGGGGGGGGGGGGAGAGGAGCTGCAAAACAAGAACACTTTCATTGGTTAAGACTTTCATACTATCTGTGATCTGCCAATTGACTTATTCATACCTGGTGTTGATGGTCTCTCCAGCATATTCAAGTGATGATAAATAAAAGCTTGACTATCATGAACAGTGTCCATATCAATTTCCTCCTCTTCCTGAGAGTTTGAGAACTATAAACATCAGCAAGAAATATGCAAAAATAAGGGAGTATTATTAATTCTAACAGGCCTTATTTTTCTAGTGAAAAGAACCAAATTTTATCACTAATCATGAATAAAAAATGAAGAAAATATAATATAAAAGTCTTGCACATTATCCTTCTTTCTAATTTACAGTGAAAACATCATGAACAGTTAGAACAATTAATTGGCAGCTTCATTTCCTGCTAACCAATGAAGAATCTGGTGGGGGGATAATTTTGCTAAAGTAATCTAAACAACTACCTTACACATTTGCACAGTTTACTTTTTCTTAGCTACAGCAGTCAGAAAACTCAGCAAAGACTTTAACTTTACTGTTATCCTAATTAGCATATTGTTAAAGCTGAATTGCCATTTTCTTACTCTGATTTTTAGTTTGACTTTACTGTCTTCATTCTTCTCTAGTATCTGCCCTGGCTCCAACGGGGATCCAAGTGGCATATCAGCCTTCCTCTTCATTCCTTGCTGATGAACAGAAATGCAGGATGCTGTTTCCTTAACAAGATGATCATCCTCCTGAAGTAGCATTTAAAAATTAAAATAAGAAGACAGCAAAAGCATATTTAAATGTAAAAGAGACATAATCATTGAACACATATTTGACTTGAACAGAATCTTCCCTGTAGTTGAGACAAAAAAAATCCCTAAAACCTTTCATGGACTTGAGCCAACCTCTCCTATAAACATGCTTTCTTTTTTCTCTCATTCTTGCTCCCTCTGAATATCTAGAACTGGACTCTCTTCTCTCTCTCTCTCTCTCTCTCTCATAATCATGGTACTGTTGGTATGTAACAAATCTTTGCAGCTCCTGAAAAACCTCTCTATATATCTGTCTCAATACCTCTCCTCATGTCAAATCTCAGCCAATAATCATCATAGTTTCAACCTAATAATCATCATAGTTTCGACCTATACAAGGGATTTAAAATAATCTTCAGAGGTTAATTTTAAAAGCTAACATTTTATTGAATAAAAGTCAAATATAAGAGTTATGACTCTGATATTCTCTTAGATGTCATAGTAGTTTTTCTCCAGAAAGAAGGTGTGTAAGACCCTTTTAAAAATTATTGCTTGGATAAGAGGAACATGAAAATAAATGTATATGTCTAATGAGTTACAAATAACACAGTTATAGGTATTAAAAATACAAAAATACAAAATAAAGGTAAATACATACGCTTACAGAAATAAATATTAATCCTTACTAAAATCTAGACTAAAGTAAGTCTTACAACAGCCTTTTCTCCAGAACATTAGATGCATTTATTACTATATTAAGGTGCTGTGCCACTTTTGAATCAAGGGTGTCCCACATTAATCAAGTGGCTATAAATGCGTGTTCTCTAGAATTAAAACTTCAGCCTTGGTAATTTACCTCCCTCCACAGCAGATTACAGAATAATGTAACACTTCTCCTTCTCAAACAACTCATGCTTATAGAACAGTATGGTGTTTTAGATGCTGCTTGTAATTTTTAGGAAGCACAGGAAACAGGAAGGAGGGTGGAGGAGATGAGCCATGGTTGAGTGAGAGCTACAGAGGGGTGCAGCAGCAGCTTTGTAAAGAGGTTTCACCTTTGTTAAATAAAGGCCTGTTGAAGTTTGTTAGTACCTTGTTTGTTAGGTAACCCGCTTCATCAAAGGACAATTTAGTCAACTTAGACATGCTGTAGCATCTGTCAGAAATTCTTTGTATTTCACAAAAATACATTTTTGCTTGTTCAGACTTCTTCATTTCATGTTCTGTTATTACCTCTAACACTATTTAGTCCGTGAAATATTCAGGAAGAAAGTTTGCCAGAGGTGCTATCCAAATTCTGTACTGTATTATTCTGTTTGTATTACAAAAGCAAAACTAATTTAGCATCAGTTATGGGTAATATATATATTTTTAAGATGAACACAATTATGTTCTGGGAACCAAGAGGAGGAAACCTAGATCCTTAAAGCAGGAAAATGCATTATCATCCCTATATTAAGGTACTTTGTGTGCTATAAGCATATCTAATAACAAAGACACATATTTAAGCAAGTTGCACAAACAACTGATACAGTGAAATGATGTCCTTTGCTCACACATTCTTCCAAGTAGATTACAAGTTAATGGCCATAGCTGCCTTCAAACACACATCTCTACCTATTAGTTGCTCTGAGGTACTCACATACAACAAAGAATGTTACAGAAATATTTATATAGAAAGACATTCCTGAAGCACAGCTGAGGATAGAAACTAGTTATATGTGAATAAGTTAAGTATTGAACAAATGCTGATAACTTTCAGAGGCAATTCAAATCTCTAATGATCCACATATTAACACCAAATTTCTGCACTCGTGATATTTTGATCCTCCAAAACAGTGTTTCTCAAAGTGGGCTATTGTGCACTTTGGAAAGCTGCTAATGGGCCACTCTGGATGGTTTATCTAAAGGCTCCATAGACACAGAGCCTTGTGTCTCCCATTGGCTCTGGTTCAGCATTTACAGCCAAGGCGAGCTACGGGAAGCCAAGGGAGTGACAGCTTTCTGAAAGTAAGAGTTAATTAGATTGAGGGCGGCACTGCCCTCTGCTCTTAAAGGATCCTATTGCACTCCTGATGAGGAGATATGTATAGGTGCCAGCCTCATTGCAGAGACCTGAAAAGGCTGTGACGCTGAGGGGGCTACCAGTGCCGGTGCGAAAGGTGGTCATACTGGAGTGGTTGTGCTCCCTGACAGAGTTGATGGTGGAGTAATCATGGTTGATGCTGGAGCAGTCATCATCGGCAGAGAAGTCATCGGCACTGGAATGGTCGCCACTGAAAATGGGACAGATGTTGACATCGAACCAGCTCCAGTCATCAGTACCAAGGTTGATGTTGGAGTAAAAAGGAAGGCCGAGGTGCCCACAAACAAAGAAAGATCCTTGGGAATCACACATGCCGACAATAACCCCAGGTGCCGAGGCTATTGATGCTAACCTAATTCTGGAACCTTGGGTTAAACCAGGAAGGGAGCTGATGATGGTGCTGAGACCTGGACCTTCTAGAGTGGTTGGACTCCATGTCAGATTCTGACTTGGAGGCTGATGACCAAGGTGGTGCGATGCTGAGCGATGTGACTTCAGTGATTTATACAATGCCATATCCTGAATTGACCTCAGCAGGGAAGTGTGCACCCGGGAAGATGAGCGACATGGCAGCAGAAAGGGCTTATCACAAGATCGACTGGCAGTCTAGTTGACACAGGTGCCTTGTCCCTCCTAGAAGGCTCAAGTGCAGTCATCTGTATCATCTCGGGCTCCCTCGTAAGTTTCCAGGGTGAAAGGAAGTTGAATATCCCAGCCATGTAGCTCCAGGGAGCATTCCTGGATCAGACTTGACTGGACCCCTTTGTGGGACAGGAGTCAATATACCCAGAGGTGTGTCTCGGTCTGCCCAGCAGCTTGCCTGCTCTGGAGGATCTACCCCTTTCATGCCTATGCTTCTTCTGAGGCACAGAGGACACAGACCTGCGCTGAGTGCCTCTACAGTCGGTGCCGTGTTGATACCATGTCAGTGCTGGTCTCTACTCGCATCACAGGTCAATGGCACCAGGGCCCTCTGTGCTGATGATGCAGCACTGCATGTTGGGCCTTATGGCACCGAATCCAATTGGGGGTGAAGAATGGTCTCCATAAGCAGGATTCTGAGTCTCTGCTCACAGTCCTTCAGAGTGCAGTTGAAAGCTCTTACAAAGGCAGCACTTCTCCTTTTCGTGACCTTCACCCAGGCACTTTAGACACTCTGTATGAGGGTCACACTTTGGCATAAGCTTGCCACAAGCTTTAAATCCTGGGGACTGAGGCATGTCCCGGTTCGGGGAAAAGGGGAAAAAAACAACAAACTAATTACAAACTAGAACTATACTAAAATTATTAACTCTAAACACTAAACGCTGATAGGAGTGCTTGCGATAGCAAGAGTGAGATTTTCCAGCTGCCATTACCAGACACTAAGGAGGAAGTAGGGGGGCTGGTGGGTCAACAAGGCTATATCAAGAGTCATATCAGCACCTTCCAGAGAGTGCCTAGGCTGACCTGACAGTTATTGCTAGGCAAAAATGTTCCAGTTTCCATGCATGCATGAACACATAACAAACTGGAATGCACATGAACAAGCACTCAAAGAAGAACAGTTACATTTTAGAATGGATACAAATCAGAAGTGGGTGTGAGCTCAGCAAACTACCTAGAAGGTTTTTCCACAGATTAGGGAATAGGCAATGGTGGAATGGGAGAGAGAGAGAGAAACAGGCTATTAAGGCTAGCATTATATTGGGAGGGATGTGGGTAATAAAAACCAACAAGGTCAAAGAATTAAGTCTTGAAAATTCAGACAAGAAATGTGAATTAATTACACAGTACAACTGGGAGCCAATGGAAGTACTCAAAGCAGGGTGAGGGGGTATGTGCAGATAGTCAGTGCTTACAGTGTTTTGAAATCCTATCAGTTGTCCATGATTGTTAGGATTGTTCACAGGTTCCTGATTGTTTGCCACTGACTCAGGGATGATGGTAGGATTAAGAACAGCTTTCTTTTCTTTCAGATTAAGGACCAGTCCAAGCTCTGGTAATGGCAAACAAGAAGGTCTACTAAGGCCAAAAAGCGTGAAGTACAGGTCCACAGCACCACATCGTAGCCTCCAGTCGTGTGAAGTACCTAAAAATCAAGGAGGAACAAGTGTTAAAATATAGAGATAATCTTTAAAATAAAATTCAAAATTATTTGGAACCTTCAAGCTGTGCACATTTTAGCCTGCTATGTTGTCTTCATCTTCCTCCTTCCCTCCTATTATTTGTTACACTCACTTGTTATGTTTACTCATAATAATGACTGTACGCTGTTTGAGGCACGGAGAATGTCCACCTATATGTTCTATTCAATGCTTAACAGGATCTCAATCATGACTGCGATTATTGGGTGCTATATCACAATTAGAGTTGTCAACGAGTAGTCAACTATATGATTAACTGATAAGCTTATCAGTTAATCTTGTCAACAACTCCAACCCCCCCATGATGCCTCTGTATCAGAGGCAGCAGCGGGAAGTGGGGGCCAGGGAGACTGCTACGAAGCAGCTTCTGTCTATGGTGGGCCCAAGCTCCCTGCAGAGCAGCTTCTGTCCACAGTGAGTCTGGACCCACTGCAGACAGAAGCTACTTTGTGGCAGAAGCCCATGTCCATGGGGGTTGGGGGAGGCGAGCTGGAATCCTCCACGGACAGGGTCTGCTGCTGGACCAGCCTCTGCCTGTGGCTTGCTGCAGACAGAGGCTGCTCCATGGGAGGCAGAGCAGCCGTTGTCCACAGGGAGCTCAGACACCCGTAGACAGGGGCTTCTGCCAGACCAGCCTTGGACAGAGACTGCTTTGTGACAGCCTCCTCCATCTCCCTCCCCCTGCAGCAGCCTCTGTCTGAGGGGAGCTCCAACCCTTGCGGAAAGGGCTGCTGTCACTCTGCGCTGCTGCCTCTGTATCAGAGGCAGCAGCGTGGGGTGGCAGGCAGCCAGTCTGCACGGGGGGCTGGTTTTTAATCTGGTTCCCCTTGCAGACAGGCTCCTACCTGATATAGAGCCAGCAGCGCCGGGTGACAGGGGTTGGGAGTGGGGCAGAAGTGCACAGGCTGCCGGCCCCACTCTTGAGGACTATTCCATTACCCAATATCTAACATGCCTAATCACAATAGCACTAAATAATATTAATAAAAAAGACAAATGCCAGTAGTTTCCACATTTAACATCTCATTTTAGATTTTACTGTCAAAGACAATTAGCAGATAAGTGGAACACATTGACAAACTAGGCTTTCACCTTTGCAAGTCTGAAAGTGAAAATGAGTTGCATGAAAAATAAATTTTATTGCTTCAACTTATTTCCTGTCTACATCACAGAACAATAAAATCCAGCACAATTAGCAGTATCTGGGGAAGCTATAAAATCAAAAAGCTATGCAAGAAGCTAAAATAGTAGCAACCTTTGCCACACAAGACATTAGGTTCAACCAATCACATGCTGTGTAGTACAAATCAATAAAATGCTGAGAAATTCAGTTTTGCAATACACTCAGAGTCATGATGTTTGTATCTCCGTCTTGCATCCTGTACTGCATGATAACTACTATCTTGATCAAAGCTGCAGGAGTGGGAGCTGTGGGAAGAAGGAACAGGGCAGGGAGGCTGATGGGGGACCAGGCAGATGGGGGAGCAGTGCGCAGCCCTCCAGAACAGTGGGCTGGAGATGGAGCAGAGGATTGGCGTAGCAGGTTGGGGCGGGGGAGCAGAGGGTAGGAGAATCGAGGCCAGAAGGCAGAGTAGGAGTGGGAGACTGGGGGATTGGGACCACTCGAGCCAGCACTGCCCATGGCCAGCGTTAGATGCGCCTCATAAAGCATTACTAAATATAGGGCACAATGATGCTCCAAGTAGCTGCATATTCTGCATATGCTTAAAAATGGTCCTCTATGCAGTGTAGCTGTAGCTATGTAAATCCCAGGATATTAGCAAGACAAGGTGGGAGAGGTAATATATTTTACAGGATCAACTTCTTTTGGTGAGAGAGACAAGCTTTCAAGCCAACCTGAGCTGAGGAACGTGTCACTCTCACCAGCAGAAACTGGTTTAATAAAAGACTATTACCCCATTCACTTTGTGTCTCAAGCATGCATTTACTCTTTTTAAAAATAATTTAACTGAATACCATATAGGAGGACAGCTTTAGGAGAGGGACTGAGATGCAATCTGCAATCCTAAGTAAAATGAGTTGTTATTCCTGTCTGTCTTTTCTAGGTTCACACAGCAGGAACAGTTACTAGTGAGGCATTACAGCTCAAAACAAACATAGTTCAAAGTTTGAGAGAAAGAGAAATGACTGAAAAGTTTTTGCGGTAGGAAGAGGAGGTAACTCACCTTGGCTGTAACTGACATTCTTCAAGATGAGCGTCCCAGGGGGAACTCCACAGCAGGTTCTGGTGCGTCCCAGCGCCACAGAGCGGATTCCTCCTAGCAGTGCAGTGGGGCCATGCAAGCATTGCACGCCGAGTGCCACCTGACACTACCGCACATGTATGGCCACCCTCCCTTCAGTTCCTTCTCTATCTGGAAAATATTTTTTGTTTTTGATCCAAAGTAGAAGGGAGGAAGGTAGTGGAGCACCCCTAGGGACGCTCATCTTGAAGAATGTCAGTTACAGCTAAGGTGAGTAACGAGAGAGAGAGAGAGAGAGAGAGAGATCTATCTATCTCTGGGGGTGACTGCAAAACAATTTGTCCTATGGAGGTAGGGACTTTGGATCAGGGAGGTAAGCAGTTGTTAGTACGGCCTTTGCTACCCTTGTAGGATAAAGAGGGCCAGTGGAAAGTGCATAGTGTCTGGTGAAGGTTTATTCTGATGTCCATGTAGTAGCAGCACATCCATCATTGATGAGAACCTTCTTCAGGTAAGTGAAGGAAGTGGCGACCACTCTCATGGAGTGTGCATGGACTGAGGTAGGTGGTGGTAAATGGTTCAGATTGTAGCACATTGTGACGTAGTCAAGAGATCCAATGGGATAATCTTTCAGATGATAGCTGATGCCGCTTGTTACATCCACAATGGAGACTAAGAGTCGTGGGGACAACCTAAAGAGTTTTTCTCTGTGGAGGTAGAAGGAGAGTGATAGAAGTGTATACATCTGTGCCTCAAAGGCATGAGGCTTTGGCATGAGGCTTTGGAAAGAATACAGGTAAGTGTATTGTTTGGTTAAGGTGGAAGGCAGAGCTTCAGGTGGAAGGTAAAAACTTCAGATATGTCCATAGAAAGACTTTATCCTTAAAAAAGATGGTAAATGGTGGGTCTGTCATTAGGGCAGTCATCTCTCCTACCCGATGAGCTGACATTGCAAGTGAGAATGCCATTTTGAGCGTTGTGGAGAAGGGAGCATGTGGCCATAGGTTGGAACAGAGGCTTCATGGGTGTGGTCAGTACCAGATGTAGGTCCCATAGTTCCTGTAGGGCAGAAACATCAGGATATAGGGAGTGTAAGCCTTGAGGAAGTTCTTTGATGTGGGATGCACAAAGACCATGGTGTCATCGATGGTCATATAGAACACTGTTATTGCTGCAAGATGTACTGTATACTAACTGAGCTCATGGAAAGGCTGGATTGCTTAAGATGTAGTAAGTAATCAAGGAATTTAGGTAGGGAGGCATCCTCCGGTGATATGTTACGGGAAGCAGCCCAGTGTACAAAACGAGACCTGCTGGGGCCACCAAGATGCTATTAGGATAACCTTTGCTTTGTCCCTCCATATTTTGATGAGTACTCTGTTGAGGAGGAGAAAGGGAGGGAATGTATAGAGTAGGTGGTCATTCCACTTGAGGATAAGAGCGTCTCCAAATAAGTGCTTTCCCATGCCCCCACTGGAGCAATAAAGTAGGCATTTTTTGTTTGTTCTGGTGGCGAATAGGTCTATGTGAGGGTATCCCCACTGTGTGAATAACTGTCAGAACTGAACGGTTGATCTGCCACTCGTGATTGCGAGGTGTACACCTTTTTGCCGAGCGTGTCTAGTCTTTTATTTTCCCTGTCAGAATGGCATGGAACAACTTTGTTGTTGCTTGTTTCTTTGCTGAGCCATGTTCACTACTAGGGAGTTTGGTGGTGGATGAGTAAATAAAAACTCCGACTCCTTTGGTGGGACACAATACTTGCGGTCTGCCTTTTTGCAGGTGAGAGGTATTGAGGCAGGAGTTTTCCAAAGAACTGGCAGGAGTCGTGATGGCTGAGTTAATAGGCAAGGCGATTTCTGAAGAAGGTGTAGACTGCAGGATGTTTGTAAGCTCATGTTGTGTGTCCTGCACTTCCTCCATGGCAATATTTAGTTCAGCTGCGACTCTCTTAAAAAGTTCCTGGAAAGGGGTGAAGGCTTTAGTGGTTGCCAGGGGTAGTGGCATAACAGCCTTGCCTGTCACAGATGGTGAGTTTGTGTCTAGTAATGCGTCCGAACCTAAACTGGTGGACTACTGTTCATCAATTTCACTCCATTCTCTTTGTATTAGAGAGGATTGGGACAGGGGACAAAGTGCTTTCATAGCGTTCTTTGTATTATATGGCCTCTTTTTGTGATGTTGAGGCCATGGGCTCCAATACTGCCATTGCGGTGGATAAGGCATGGGTGGTGGTATCCATGGGTATGGAGCCCAGGGGGCCATGCCCATGTTGGTAGGGTGGACAAAATAAGCATGGAACAAGTGTCCTGATGTTTCTGTACGTGGCAAAAGCTGGGGTGAGAAAACCTCTGGCTCCTTGTCAGCATCAGTTGATAATAAAGTAGGTGATGATGTGTATTTGAATTGTGGTAAGATAATTTGTCAGTTCTTAAAAATGGAGAGCTAAAAGTGAAGGAGACACAAGATTTCTCTGATGCCAGTAAGTGAAAGTTGCTAATGAAGTTGCAAGCGGCGCCAGTGCCACAACTGTGGTATTGTAGACACAGAGCACACACTGTGAAAAGTTGCTGTGGTCAGCAAAAGCGGGGAAGTGCCAATAGGCTGCCCTGTCAGCTGTTGCAGTGCCCTTGTAACCACTTTCAGTGCTGTGATCTCAGGCACAGCGCTGTTTGGCACCATGCTCGGTGCCAAGTTCTGCGAGGTAGGCACTGAATGGCCTGTAGCTTCTATATGGGTGC